TGAAAGTAAGTGAGTGGTCCACAGCAGTGTTACTCTGGAAAGAAATCACGAGTGACGAATACCTAGATCGGTTTAACATGTTGGTAAGGCTTTTAATTCTTAAAAAAAAATAGACAAGTTCTATACTCGCATTGTATTTATATGCACTTTGGCAATAACGCCATGCTCCATTTCAAGAAATATCTAGCAACTATCCCCATAAGCACCTAATTAGCTAAAGCTAAGTAAAATCTAGTGTATAAAAAAAAATATAATATTAAGTAGTACCTAGATATAATGTAGGTATTATAAATATATGCCACGGAGTCAGTTTTGCAATTTCCCTACATAATATCAGTGGTTTAGTGGGGCGTATACGCAGGTATACGGCGTATACCCACTTCTCTGTTTTTCTGTATATGTGTATACTTATTTTAAGCGACTTGCTCAGTGCTTTACTAGCCCTTCGAAACCCTCAACCTTCAAACGAAATCRCCCAAAATATCCTAAAAGTATTAAAATCGACCTCTAAAAAYATTGAACTTATGTGGATACCATCCCACACCGGTATAACTGGCAACGAAATGGCTGACATGGTAGCCGATCTTGCAACTAGAATCATCCCCCACCCAACTATATCGGATCTACCGACTAATGACATCAAAACTTCTATCAAATACAAAATATTTTCAAAATGGCAAAATTATTGAGATACCATCCCTCCCTCTAATAAACTTAAAACAATAAAGAAAAATACAAAGAAATGGATCGCACCTTATTACCTCAACAGACGACAAGAAGTTACAATCATGAGGTGCAGACATTCAYTTCTAACTCACTTTTTCCTCATTAGCAAAGATCCACCACCCACTTGTGACGAATGCCTCACACMAATCTTTAAGTTCARCACATTATCATTGATCGCATCAGATATCAGGACATAAGAAACAATTTATCAATACCACCTAATATGAATGAAGCACTCAACGAAAACAACAACTACAAAATTATTTCATTTCTAAYCAAAATCAATCTTTTAAGCAAATTTTAATAATGTACAAACCTTTTTCCATAGTTTTTAAGTTTAAATACTCTTTGTAAATTTACCTTTGTCTTTCTACTATTTCTAATACTGTTATAATTTATACTAGGTTAATGACCTGTGATGTTGAAGCCTTACTTCGAATAAAAAAAAAAAATTAGGATAGGTAACACAATAATGGCCAACAATATTCCTAATTTATTTTTAAAAAACAATTTCGGTATAAATAATCAGATATTAGAAGTATGCGTGTATATCATCGACTCATCATTGTATATGTATAATATAAATATTTAATATACTGCAATAGTAGATACTAGGTACATTATAAAAAAAATAATATAACAATTTAATATAAACTTGAGGTAATATA